ACAATCTGTTAGCCACAGCCTTAAGGGTCTTCCAAGTTGCTTTCTCTGCTTCCCTTGTCTTTTAACCCCCTTGCCTTCCCTCAGACCTAAAGCCTGGATTCTCATTACTGATCTGCTTGTTAGGCAGATTTTCACTTTCCTTGGCTGGACTGCGAGGCCTTTCGGGGCAGAATCTATAAGATGAGGTGAGGACTTGGAAGATCACACAGGAGTTTCTGAAAGGATGATTATATTTCAAACAAAATGAGTGAACCAAAAACATGTACAAACACAACCAGAAAGGTATTTCCGTTTTCAGAAGGATTGGCAGGTTTCTATAACTTAGTGCAGTTATGGTAAATACAGACGAATGGTTCATGAACTCATAGATAGTCCTGCCCAAACAAACAAAGAACAAGAGATCATTTGATTCTAAGCCCCCAAGGCTTGTTTAGATGCCTGAAGGGTGAGAATTCCTCAAGTTTAAAGTGTGAAGTCCTGGGAGAGGAAGCTGGGAGAGGGGATTTGACTGCTTTGCAAGAGGCAAGTCCTTTGGTCTCAAAGAGTCTGTCATTTCAGAGGATGTAGCCTGGGGTGGGGGTGTTGCCTAAGCAATTAGGTTTCAGTCAAAAGGCTGGAATCTCTCGGCTCAGGAAGCCCAGGCACCCTTCATTTGTCTTCAGAACAAGCCTCAGTAAGAGTTAGGACAGGTAAAACTGCCTATTTCTCAGTGGTCCTCTCCCTCAAGGGGTCTAAGGATGGAGTTGGTTGGCTGTCTGAATGGATGGTTGGTGTCCCTTTGACCAGCACCTGCTGGCACAGAAATGTCCACAGCCTGCCTACCTCTAAGCTTGGTCCCACCCACACTAGACAGATGCAATCCTAGCCGGGTTCTGGTCTTCCCTGAGCCACGTCAGGGGGAGAAGAATGACAAAAACAAACACACAATCCCTCTTCCTCATAGACAGGAAGGATTTAAGCCAAGAATGCAAGGTGTGCCTGGTGGCCTTTATCCCCAGCTGCACAGCTGTTACACACATGCACTGGCTTATTTACTTGGGTAGAGGCAGTATGGTGTGTCATGTTGGCCAGAGACCAGGAAATAATTGAGTTGATAAGCAGCCAAGTCAGAAGGCACATATGTCTTCCCAAGTCGTATGGCTGGCTGCTCCTTCCTTGTACAAAAGCACACCAAGTAATACGGGAGGTCATGGTGCCTTCCCATCTGATGCCCCTTAGCCAGTGTTCCAGAGAAGGGTCTGCTGTAAACACTCCGGCTCTCCTAGCAATCTGCCCGGTTGTGGACTTATTCAGAAGAACACGTAATAAGGCAAATCCGGTTCTTTTCCTTTATATCACAGCCGTACCGCTTTCTAACTGTGCAGTTGACTTCTTTGCACCTCATCGTATTTATCTTACTTTGAGCTCATGGCAATATCTCTCCTAGAATTCTTAGGAGAAGCAACTATTTAACAGCCCTTTTTTTCCCTCCACAATAACTGGCCCATTGTGTTCATTTTTTGTTTGGTTGGTTTTGGTTTTTTAAGATAGCGTTTCTCTGTGTGGCCCTGGCTGTCCTGAAACTCACTCCATAGACCAGGCTGGCTTAGAACTCAGAGATCACCTGCCTCTGTCTCTGGAGTGCTGAGAGTAAAGATGTGCCCCTCCATGCCTGGCTGTTGATTTTTTTTTTTACATGCTTTTTGTTGTTGTTGCTGATTTATTTATTTATTTTTTTGAGAAAGGGTTTCTGTTTGTAACATTCCTGGCTGTCCTGGACCTTGCCTTGCAGACCAGGCTGGCCTCAAACTCACTGAGATCCGCCTTCCTATGCCTCCCAAATGCTGGGATTAAAGGCGTGCACCACCACCAAGCCTGGCTGTTAATTTTTTAATAGATATTTCAGAAAGACAACCTCTTCCGGCCATTTCCAGTTGGAAACATCTCTTCATATTCGACATTCTTGGTGTCCAGGTTGTATTGGAACATGGCAGAACAGAGGCGGCCAGGCAGGAATGGGGTATTGGAAACCTAAGCCCCATATTCTCCCTCCTGTGTCGTTGCTCTTGCATTATGCTATACAGCTTGAATATCCATGGATATGAGGTGCAAAAGAAATAGGAATTCTACTCAATCTTCCAGGAATTGAATCTAGGTTCTAGTCTAGCCTCCCTCTCTAAGTCCTCTTGTGCTTGCTCTTTAGCTCAGATTCTGTCCCAAACCTGCCACGTGGAAAAATGCCCAGCCCAGATGAAGAAGGAAGGCGATCACTGTTGCCAGAGGACTTCATGCTAGCAACAGATCGGCAGTCATACAGCCACTCGGCTCTTAGAGGAAATGCTTTTTTTAAAAAAAGTCAAAGAGCAGACAGACCCAGGATGGAACTTTCACAGGCATCTAACCTGGAAGGACGTTCAGGCTTGTGCAAAAGGGATGTAAACCATCTCTGCAAAGGCCCTGGAAAGAGGACGTGGGAGGGTGGGGGGAGCCAGAGCTTTCCTGTCCTCTCTGCTAACCCACAGAACAGGAGCACCAATTGAACTTTACTACGGGGCTGTATATTGTTTGGTTTAATCTTAAGGAAAGCTGCTTTTTGCTGTGTGAGTGGCTTTGCCAAGGCCAAGGCCAAGCCTGGAAGCAGAAGGATGCTGCAGGAGCTGCATGTCTTCTTAGGATGCTGCAGGAGCTGCATGTCTCTGTGTTAGAAGCTCTTTTGATAAATGCCATAATCTCAGATCTGTAAAGGCACTTGAGAACTAGGTACCATTACCTGTTATTTAAACTGGGCATATAAACTAAATTTAGGCAGGTATTGTATCCAATTAGTTACAGTTTATCAATGCTAGTAGATGTGAGAAGATTAAAAGGAATATTTTAATAAGTCAAAGAATACTAGCAGATGGTGGACTAGCACACGTGGTTACCCTTACCAAAGATGGCAGTGAGGTTAAAATGGCAGCTACCCATGTGTTTGTATTTTTCCAGAGCTGCTGTCATCTGGAGATAGAAGTTTTACTGATCTTAACATATATAAAGCCCATGACCCGAGGACCTGGCATACAATAAGTTCTCGATAGATGTTAGCCATGATTAACGTATGCCTAACTCCTGGAGGCCATCAAGACTTCTTGGCTCTGTGTAGCTCAAACTTTCTTGCTGTTGCTGATGTTGCCACCGTTCCTGTTGGCCACAAGGAAATGGTATAAGCTGTTCGTGCTGGCCAATCTCTCTGCAGGTCCACAGAGTCTTAGTTGTTCATAGGTTAGAATTAAATGACCCATGGATATTGTGTCTGTCATTGCCAGAGATGGTAAAAGAGAGGAAATATGGTAAGCAGGCTGATGTAATGATGGGTAGGCCAGTCAGTGTCTTCGTAGTGACTGCAGGATAGCATCGTATATACATGCTAATATGAACTCATGTTTTATTCTTATTTGTTCATCATTTTACCTCATCAAAGCTGTGAATTTTTAAAAATGCTTTCTGATAAAAATTGGGTGGCTTGCATGGTTGCATTTCATAATAAAAGGAGTAAATAGGAAATATGAATATGAATTCATTCTGGCATTAATACAAGATCATTTGAACCATCTCCTTTAAAAAGTAGAGTTGAGGGTTTAGGGTATTAAATGAATTTTGTAGCCCAAGGGCAGAACTTTACGCACCCTGCACCTGTAGTACAGTCTCTTGGCCTATGACTTCCCCATCATTAACAGGTCATAAAACAATTCTGGAGCCATTGTTCGAAATGTAAGGAAGATGACCTGTGTGAAGGACTCTCAGATACCACCACCTCTGGCTAAGTCTCTTCCTGTCTTTGGCACTTACCTCTGCCTATCCATCAGAAAACCCATCCTTCTGTTTTCAGAAAGGACAGTAATGAGAAAATTAACAGTTCCCGTTTTTCCCACTGAGGGATTCCCAAGATTGTGTGCTCCTGCATCCATAGCCATGGTTACAGTGGTACAATTTTTGCTCTCCTTTATGGTCCAGAGATTGGCACTGTAACACTGCTACATAGTAGAACTTCAGTCCGTCTCTCACCAGCTCCAAGCAGCTATCAGCTCTGAGAGCACAAACCCTAGGTAATCTACTAAGCAACTTAAAAAAAATTCCTCTTAACTAAATCAAGTTCCAAATTTTATACAGACTTTAAAGAGAAAGTAAAGGGCTGGAGAGATAGTTCAACTATTAAGAGCACCGGCTGCTCTTCTAGAGGACCTAGGTTCAGTGCCAGCATCCATGGGGTGGCTCACAACTGACTGTAACTGCAGGGGCTCCAGCACATTCTGGCCTCCATGGGCACCAATAAGCACATGGGATACAGACATCCATACAGGCCAAACACCCATACACATAAACATTTAAAACAAAAAGGCGTGAAGAAGCACTGGGAGAAGCATAATCCTTCCAGATATTGAAATTGATCAAGACTCAGCAAGTCCTAGAATATCCCAGACTAGACTAAATGTTTCTCAATTTGTGATTTAGACCCAATATTTGGTATTTAATTCTTTGTTTAAAACCGATAATAATTACTGTAACAACATCTTAGTCAGGCAGCAATATGTGCCAGACAGCGTGATAAATATTTCTCCTGAGATCTCATTTAATTTTCATAGTACTGGGAAGGAAATATGATTTCTCTCATTTTATTGATACAGATACTGAGGCTCAGAGTCAAAATTACTTGATGGGGGTGGGGTGGCCATTTGACAGTTTATTTCTAGGTCCATAAAAACAGGGCAGGCAGATGCCATGGAGAGGTTGTACAGCTGGTTCTCTTATTAAGTCAGCCGGTTCTACCTGGCCAGCACTGCACAGCAGCCAGCTGTCTGGCGTTTTGAAGACATGGCACATTAATGCTTACTAGGTTAAAGAAAAGGCGCCCGTCTGTACTCTCCCGAACAACCCCATCACTTCTGGGCACATCTATTCCTTGGGAATGTCTGTTTCCACCATTCATTCTCGTATATTTCCTGGTCTGAAAAACTGCCCTTTTTTCCTGGCTCCCTCTACAGCCCGTGAGACACTCGGCTCAGAAGCTGTTTGACACCGAGAAGAACCGTGACCCAGTGCCCTACTGTTAGCACATGGTTCCTGTGGTTATGCTTTCTCAGCTCAGAGCCCTAAAAATAATGCTGGGTCTGAGGTGGATTGCACAAATCCAGAGAAAATATGTCTTGACGGTGACTAATGACCATAATAATGGTTAAAACTCATAAAATTCTGTCAGGGAAATCTTTTCTAAACCAATTTATATTCAGCAGACAAAGGTCATTCTTCTTCCTTACAGTAATAAAATAAAAGCTATAATAGCTCTAGATATATTATCCGATTTATCAGCCGCACCCGGGCCATGCGGTATTAATCCTTTGTGATGCTTTAGGAAATTGAAGCCACGCTTCACTGTCAGACACCAGCCAAAGACAGTCGGATCCAGATTTCTAAACTGCACTCCGGTGCCCCTTTAAAAACAGATGTTTACTCCTTAGCTTTAATTCTGTTTTAAAATACTACACCCAGTCAATGCCAAGAGATGAAGTTTTGCCACCGCTTGGGCAGGCTGAAGACCACGTTGGCTTTCTGAAAACACTTGCAGAGAGATGTAGTCAAGGCATGCCTCCTATCCTAGCTGCCCCTATCAGTGCTTGCCTGGTTCACTAGCTTAGATGCATTTGGAGGTGTGACTTGTGCTGCTTGCCAGTCATGTTAGCCTTGGCCCTAGAGGATTGGAGAGAGTCCCCAAACACCTTTACAGGCATGATGGTGTTTCATCAGCGTCTGCTTCCCATTGCCTGCTAGCTGGTATCAGCATGGCTCCCTTAACTGCCCGATATTGTTTGCCCTTCTGTTCAGTAAATCAGCTGAAAAGATAGTATTAACTATGATACTCAGGCAGCTACGGGGCTGGGTGTCTTTGCTGTTACTCATTAGAGGACGAGTGTTCATATTGTACTGTATTGATGCCCAATGTTAGCTAGGGTTTCCCTTTCATCCTTGCACTAAAGGCTAGTGAGAGGAGCGTGCTATTGTTTCTCCTGGGCATACCCGAAGCCTGTCCTTTGAAGTCATCCTGCACTAATCATGAATGGATGAAGACTGAGTTCCTTGAAGGTGAACTTTCCGTTAATATAGTGTGATCGTTCAGGCTGTGTTTGCTGTCATTGTGGTTAGAGTGCAAAATTCCTTTTACAGGTTTGTGTATTGGATCCCTTTCTCTCCTGTTTGAGAAGGCTGGGGAACCATTAAGTGGGGGGAGTCATGCAGGAGGAGATGGGTCGCTGAGGGCGAGGCACAAGCTTTCAGGTTTTGTAGCTCTCATCCTGCTTCCTGTCTGTCAGCTTTCTGTTTCCTGACTCCCACGCTCGGTCATGATACCTTTCCCACTGAGATAGTCTATATACCTTCATAAACTGTGAGCCAAAATTAACCCTTTTTGCCTTCCCTTGCTGCTTGTCAGATCCCAGCAGTTAGAGAAATGGCCAACACAGTGATGGGTAAACATGGAGACCATCAAGTGAAGGAAATGCGAGCTGAGGAACGGGGGAACGGGGGGGGGGGGGGGGGCGCTTTGGTGACAGGGAGCAAACATAAGTGCTGACCAACCAGAAGTCTGAAAAGGAGGGTTTGTGGGGGCAATCTGGTGGCTGACACTCGCGGGAATGAAGGGCAAGGGGAAAGATCAAGTCGGACAGCCAGTTCCAGAAAGGAGCAAGAGCCTATGAGCTTGCAGGCGCTTCCTTCTAAGCAATACCACCCTGGAGAAGGAGCAACATGCTTTCTCATTTTCAGGGAAAGAGCTCTGTAGTGACTCAAAGCCAACAATGGCCACAAGTCCGTCTTTTTAAGTCTCTTCTAAATGAATCTTAAGACCTAGAAAGCACTAACCATAAAGGAAAATAATCAATAAATTAGATCACATTTGAAGTAAAAGTACCTGTTAATTAAAAGCTATTAGAAGCAAACGACTGGGTAGGAAGAAATGTTGCCGATAGGTATATCTGGCAAACGGCTGACGTGCAGAACATAAACTTCTGTGAATCAGCAGGAACACAGCAAACAACAAACAAAAAAGCCTTGTGAAATAATGTCATGGGCCAGGAAAAGGTGCTTGTCATGTAAGCCTGGTGACCTCAATTCAATTCCCAGATCCCACCTAGAGGTGGAAGGAGAGAACCTACTCCACAGACCTGTCCTTTGAGCATGCTGTGGCAGGCCTGTGCCACAGTCATATACTCTCACAATAATAATAACTATTGCTTTTAAGAGGTACTTCATAAAAGAGAATCGCCAGATAGCTAATAAAACATGCCACAGGGTGCAAGCTAACCCTAGTTATCAGTGACAGCCAGCTAAGTCTACCGAATAATAAACTGCATAGGGACCATCGTAGCTAAAGTGAAGATGACAGCAGTGTAGAGTGTTAGCAAAGATACAGGCCAACAGAGCACTGGATACTGTGGATAGAAGTATAATTTGATACAGTGACTGTTTAGCATCCTGTTTAGCATAGTCAAATAATACACCCTTGTGAGTACCGGAGTATGTACAAGAACACGCACTGAGGCACCACCTATTAATCGCCCATGTACGGAAACTACAGATATCTATAAACACACCACAGGATAAACTGTACTCGTGCACTGGGATGCAGTACAGGAATGTTCATCTATCACATGCAACACTGCGAATGAATCTCATGACCATAAGGACCCTATACTGGCTGGTCTTACCTGTGTAAAGTTCAGAATCCTGCAAGCTACTATATGGTATGAATACTCACAACAGGCATGATGAGAAGGGGAGCTGGTGGAAGGGCTGGGGCAAAGTGACGTCTTCCTGAGTGCTGGCTGTGTTCTGGCTCTCGATCCATTAATGTCTTCACAAACCACATTAAGCTGTAAATATAGATAGAATTTATGTTCTTTTTCCCTGTGCTGGACGTTTTAATAAACTGTTCGCAGAAAGCAAAGGAGAAAGTGAGCCTGGTGCTATAGGTCCATAATCCAGCACTTGGGAGGGGAAGGCAGGAAGAGCTCTGTAAATATGAGACAAGCCAGGACTGGGTAGTGAGTTCCAGGCCTACCTGAGCTAAATGGTGAGAATGTGTCTAAAAAAAAAAAAAAAAAAAAAAAAAAAAAAAACAGAAATGAAAAAAGAAAGGGGAGACAGGGACACAATGAGAAAGGCCAAACTGACAATGTCAGGGTCTGAATCCTGACTCACTGACTGGGTGTTACCGGGTGATAGTGGTTGTCGGGTTATTAGATGAATTCAGCAACATAGTCCACATATAGTACTTGGGTCTAATCTCTAAGATATCTCTGTGTATTTACTAATATTCCAGAATGTACATTTCTGGGCTAAAGTGTTTTAACCTGTACAAAAGCCTGACCTTGAGGTGAGGCTAGAATCAATAGAGACAAGTCAAATAACAAACAGTTGCCTCTATAAGAACTGAGAAAATACAGATTAGTCATTGGTAAGGGAAATATGCAGTTGGAGCTAGAGAGATAGTTTTGTATTTAATATTTAAGAGCATTTGCTGTTTTTGCAGAGGACCTGTTTGGTTCCCAGCACCCAAGTGTGGAGGCATCCTGCCACCTGTAACTCTAGCTCCAGGGGATTAAATGTACTCTGGCCCCCAAGGGTACCTGCATACACAGAAAGACACACACACACACACACACACACACAAATGAATACATAAATGAATCTTAAAAAAAATAGAAAAATACAGCTGGGTGGTGGTGGCACACGCCTTTAATCCTAGCACTTGTGAGGCAGAGGCAGGCGGATCTCTGTAAGTTCAAGGCCAGCCTGGTCTACAGAGCTAGTTCTCGGGTAGTTGAGGCTACCAAAGGAATACGGTCCAGAAAAAGAAGAAAGAAAGAAAGAAAGAAAGAAAGAAAGAAAGAGAGAAAGAAAGAGAGAAGGAGAGAAAGAAAGAAAGAAAGAAAGAAAGAAAGGAAGGAAGGAAGAAAGAACACACAAGGAATGATACTACACGTCACACTGCCCTGAGTAAAACTCATGGAGTGGCTAAAGAAGTAGGTTAGTGCTCACCCTTCAGGGGCTGACTGAAGGACATACAAGGGCTCTTGTTTCTTGTGGAGGTTGCGGAGACATGAATCCGTACAGTCCTGTCTATCTGTGTGCCCTTTCTCGCCGTGTGTTCTGCTTCGGCCTGATGAAGAGAATGGTTTTGAAACTCGAAGTTTTGGCTCCAAGATGAATTACCTAAGCTAACTTTTTCTTACTATAGACTATGAAACCTCTCCTTGTCTTGAGGGTAAGTCAGAGTACTATAGTGTTTTATGTTACCTCATCAGCTCACTGGGGACAGTTTCTTACAAATTGGGACAGGTTCTTCCTGTGTTGAGATTTGAGGCCTCTCCCAGGGCTTTGTTTTGTTCATGGAATGACCTCGTGTCATTTGTGAATGGACCTGTCACAATGTGTCGTCAGTTTGGTGGTGCCATGACTCACCCACGGGGGCAAAGGTCACTCCTGCTTATCAGTACTATGGCTTGCTGCTTGTCCCCACACCATGCCATTGGCTTCCTTTTCCTGTGTTTACTCACAGACACACCTGCTGGGTACCCACGCAGTATCTCAGATTCTAATATAGCATTTCATAATGAATAAAAGCAGCACAAAAGATAAAAGGAAATGCTGGAGACTTTCCCTTCCAATTGTTTATAGGCCGGTGATGAAATAGCATGTGCTTCTTCTGAAAACGGCAGTTTTCCTTTTCCTCCTTTCTCTCTGCTCCGCCTCTACTCGGTACATCTTTTCACATTCTCGTCCCATTTACATCTCCTCAGAGTAGCATTCCATAAAAGCAGGCTAAAAGCAGTTTGACCCCATCTCTCTGCAACAGAAGCCATCCGTTCTTAGCCCATATCTTCCTATTCCCGCAGCTCGTAGTCCTTGCTGGCAGTGCATTATGTTAATGATAATCTCGGAAAGAGCTATCTGTCTTGTCCTATAGAAGGCACTTGCCCGGCACTGGTTCACGAATCTCTGGCTCTTAACGCATGGCTACGGGGTGTCATTTTAGAAGTGAAGGCCTAGGATTTGGCAT